TGTTTCCTCATGAGGAGACGGCTAATATTTTCATTACCACAGAAAAAAAGGAATCTAGACGGCGTTTAATAATGTTTATTCCTATCATGTTTTTTATTGTAATATATTGCCATGCCTGAGCTATCGTTTTCAAAAGTAGCGACCATAAATCTATATTTTCTTTACGATTATACCGAAGAGCAAAAACTGTGACCCCTAGCACATTTCTGAAACCCTATCGAGTCTTTTATACTCCCACAAGATGAGGGTGTCCACAGTATACACTTGAAAGATTTAAAACATTTCCGTCAGGGATAGTACTATAATTTTAAAGACATGTTCTCTGCATGAATGAATTAAAAGTCAAATACATTATTTATTTCTTTTTTCTATATGTTCTCTCTCTCCCTATCTCTCTCTCTCTCTCTCTATCTATCTCTCTCTCTCTCACACACACACACACACACACACACACACACACACACACATATATATATATATATATATATATATATATGAATGATAGGATGAGGAACAAATAAGAAACATCATTATCCTATCATTCTGTCGTATTCTAAACTATATGTATCTATCTAGTTATATATATATATATATATATATATATATATATATGAAGAAATATAGTCTTAAGATGTGCTATATTTATGGGATAAAGTGCTCAATATCAGAGATAGAGTGTGTGTAAATATAAAAGTGAACATAGAAGTCAACACTTAGAGGCGACAGTCTGATTCATGCTAGTTGCAATCGTCAGGCCATATATATATGTGTGTGTGTATGTATGTGTTTGTGCGTGTGAAAATGCATTTTTTTATATTCACTTGGTAATGTATAGTAAGATAAAATATATAGATATATACGTACATACATACATACATACATACATACATACATACATACATATATATATATATATATATATATATATATATATATATATATGATTGATGGATATATGAAAAAATATATATTAATCTATATATATGAAAATGCATATATATATATATAAATATATATATATATATATATATATATATATATATATTGTTTTCTTTTGCTTAGTATTATTTTTGGCATGTTCTTTTTTTTCTTCTTTTTGTTCTTTATTGGAAACTTTGTCAATTCCGTTTATTGGGGTTTTTTGCGAGTTCCATTTAACCAAAGACAATTGCTCCACGGTCTTCATCCCCTACATCCAGAAGGGAGACGGTATTATACTAAGTTCGACTCAATGTAAAAATCAGAATTTTAAATAGTCATTTTTTTTACTCATTTCACTCCAAACGAAGCAATGAAGCCACTAAAATGCAAGGGTTTTCCTGAGAATTTGAGAGAAATAATTAAGGAGTGAAGAAAGACAATCAAGGAAACAGAAAAGACGATTGGTATTGCATTTAAATTTTTGAAGATCAGAATTGCCTGGAAAGTAAAAAAAACAGGAGATTGTTACACTAACGAGAAGTGCAAGAGAAGAAACTGTTAGCATAGAACTTACGGTTACATCTAGCCATTTCAACTGTAAATCTTGCCGCGCATTTAGTACAGCGCGAAAATTAATAAACCCTTGGTAACATAGAAAAATTTCATCAGAACAATTACCATGAAAATATTTCTAAAATTTTCTAGGCAGGAGGATTTCCACCTTTATATAACGGATGGGGTACTGTCATTTTTACCGCCAGTTTCTCGAGTGTCACAAAATTGACAGTGATCTGTATTTCTGAAACTTGCACTGAACTGCACATCGTCAATTTAATCGCCGCAAAGGAGTGTCCCTTCATTTGGTAGACGTTAAACGGAAACACATTATTTTTGAAGAGGAAGAACAAAAATATTATCTTTTCATTAATTGTTTGTGTGAGTTTTAATATTACCGGAAATTATTCTGTTTTTCTACTTTGTACTTAAATAGCACAAAAGAGAGAGAGAGAGAGATTTGCACTGATTTGAACTCGTCAGCGCTGGCGTCAAAATAGCAATTTGAACCGACTGAATTTTTCTTAGGAATTAATAAAATGCTCATTAGATTAGACTGATATATGACTACATAAATATTTATTACTTGGGTAAGGATTTAAAAATACGAGAACTAATAACATAAAACAGGCTAGATAAATACTGGAAGCTTATCTAAAGTCTACATACATATATCTGGATTCAATATAATCTATTGGTGTGCGTGGATATGTGTGTGCTTAGATACATGACTTATGAAAATTATTGATCTGCCATTTCACTGGTCAGAAATAACTAAATTAGGAGCGAAAACTTGGCACTCTCTTCTTAGTAGGGGATCATGGCAGGATTAAATTTAATTAGTTTAAAAAAAAAAACAACTTGTAGAATTTCATACTTTGTTACTTCCCCCTGAGGTTTACATCATAAAAATTAAATCGTACATTACATAACTTTAATGATTTTCACTTCACAAGTAAATAAATTAACTTTCAGATTAACACAAAAATTTTGTCTCAGAAAAATGATGAACACAGCAATTTTCGTCTTAGATAAAGACAACAACCTGATGATGACATTGTGCGAATGTCGAAAGTACTCAGAATAAATGAATATGTGTCAACATCGTAATTTTCTCTCTTCATTTAATAAGGATATTTTTCGTGAATATGAGAGGATGCTATTGAAAATAAGTAGACAAAACGTGTCTAAATTATTCAATGCGACAAGTTTATGTATATATATATGTGTGTGTGTGTGTGTGTGTGTGTGTGTGTGTAAACTTCGATATGCATTCATTTGTAAAAAATTGCATTTAAAAACTTTTAAATACCTCGTCTTTATAACCTCTCAGTCATGACCGCTAGCTTCAAGAGAAATTCGCGATATATATATATCAATCATTTAAAAAAAAATATGGTTCCTTCGCTACATAAGAGTTCTCATGTTACAAAAACGAGAGCCGAAACCCTCAATATAATTATTAAAATTAAATTGAATTAAAGTAACAAGCCCTGTTTCATCCTCAAGCGAAAATTTAAGAATAACCAATCTTGAAATTTACGCATCTTTATAAGCATGTTCATTCATTAATATGGAAACGGCTGGGGCGACCATTTTTGATAAGGGGCCTAAGAGTTAATTTTTATACACATATCAGTCACCTTCAGGGAGTGGTCAAGCTGAGGTAGGGTGGGGTGTCTATTTCAAAGCGAATGATGGAATTCATGTACGCTAATTATAATTTAAGCTCTACTTCTGTATGGAGCACTTTTTTTAAAAAATAAAAACAAAAATAATAAAGAACTCCGGATTATTTACCTAACGTAAAAAACAAACAGAATGTTCCTAGCAACTGGAATGTAGAGAAACGCTATTTTCATATTGTTAACTGAAAATAACGCCAGTATTTGTCACGTATGGAATTTTTTTTTTGTTTTTATTAGTTACTTTGTTCAATTAAATTTATTTCGTGTTTTGTTTGATAAAGTCCACGTTGGAAGAAACGCGTCAGCAATTACTAGTTTTCCCATTGTCATTTTTATTCATAATATTGACTTCTCTACTGGTTAATTCTAATAAATTTATATATATATATATATATATATATATATATATATATATATATATATATATATATATATATATATATACGACGTCAAAGAGCAGTTCTGCGAACATCTTGATTAGGTTCTCAAGTCGACCCTCACCAGAATGGCAAACTCGTCATCCTTGGAGATTTCAATGGCTGGATAGGCGTTCTCATAAACGGAAGAGACAAGGTCGACGACAATAACCTGCTCCTCCTCGGATTGAGAAAACGGAGAGCCGTGTTCGAATTCCAGTCGAATCCATTACATTTACGTGCTAATACACTTGGAAAAGGTATGAATCCTCTTCTTCTCCCCAGTAGACTGGTTCTATAGTCTTAGGTGGCAACTGGTCTTCTACGGGAAAAAATCTGCCTCGTCTGTCATGAATCGAAAAATACATGATAGCCTGTGTGTATCACATAACTGACTGATATATATATATATATATATATATATATATATATATATATATATATATATATATATATATATATATATATATATATATATATATATATATATATATATATATATATATATATATATATATATATATATATATATATATATATATATATATGAAAAAAATATATGGATATAAAAAAAAATACAGAAAAAACAAAATTCTGAATATGCATTATTAATGTTAAAATAAAGTCGACGTCGGACGTTTCGGTCTATTTAAGACCATCTTCATGGACATTTTCATTTAAACATAATTAACATTATAACTTATAACAATTTAACACAAAAAAGACGATGGACATAAGAGCCCAACTAATTCAAACAGATAACTGAAATTTTATACAGATCAGCGTTCTGTTTAAATATGATCACGATAGTCGTCTCGTGGGCGATGTTGTTAGGACGTATTCAAAGATGATTTCAAAAAATAAAAATATCAAAAGTCGATTGAAAATTTTATAAAAAGTCAAAGAAATCTCTTCCGTTGATGTTGGAAGAAATTTTCAATTGACTTTTACATCCTTTTAATTTTGAAAATCCTCTCCCGTTACAATGCAAATCCAAAATGATTTCAAAACGATGCAACATTTCTAAAAACAGTTCGATAAAAATTTCCATTCCTTGTTTGATCTATTATTCTCGTCCATCGTCTTTTTGTGTTAAATTGTTATAAGTTATGATGTTAATTATGTTTAAATGAAAATGTCCATGAAGATGGTCTTAAAGACCGAAACGTCCACGTCGACTTTATTTTTTAACATTAATAATGCATATTCAGAATTTTGTTTTTTCTGTATTTTTTTTCATATATAAATATATATATATATATATATATATATATATATATATATATATATATATATATATATATATATATATATATATATATATATATATATATATATATATATATGATATATATATTAACAGATAGAGAGAGAAAATGACCTTTATAGGGTTTGTTTTGGGTTTTTTAAACGTTAAAACCTCTTTCCTTTTAAAAATCTTTTTAAAGTGTCGGAAATGAAATAATTCTAAAATGATAGATAGATAGATAGATAGATAGATAATGAAAAGACTTGAATAGATAGATAATAGAAAAGAATAGATTTTCCTAGATAGATAATAGATAATTTTCTTAGATAGATAGATGAATGATAGATAGATAGATAGATAGATAGATTTGTGAATGTTTTTTTGTAAAAACGTTAAACGTTTTTCTTTTAAAAAAGAGTTTTCTTTGTCGGAAATGAAAAAAGAATTCTATCTGATAGATAAATAGAAAGAACAATAAAATGACATTCTTTTAATGGATGATAAAATAATTTTTTAAATGAAACAAGATAAAATAATTTGTAATCATCTGGTTCTTGTGAATTCTAAGTCTGTTTCGATGTTTACCCGCGCCATCGTCATTCTCGACGTTATCCGCTTTTTATTTTGAAAATTACTTTTGTCTGAAGTGTCATTTTTTTTTTAAATCAAGTACTTTCCTGTCATTTTTTATTTTCCTAATGAATATTCTAAGTGATTTTATTCGATTTCAATATTCCTGTTCGAAATGATTGGGTTCATCAATCTTTTTTTTTTCAGTTATGTTTCATTCATTGCACCAAAAGTCTTTCAGTCATGCACTAATTAAAATTTAGCATCGCTCTCATCAGAAATCTGTGAAAATATTCTCTGTAAAAAAATCTAAAATATATCACGTCTTTAGAGAAATAGTATTAAACGATGCTGAGATCGCCTATCTAAACTGATTTTTTGTAACGATGCAGAGGCTTACTTTCATTGACGCTTTATTTAAGGCTATGTTATAGAGCAATAAAGTGTCGCTGCCGACACTTAGGTTTGAACATAGATCGCTAGGTAACAAACACAGGGGATCCCATTTTTGAATTAAGTGGATCACGTGACCATGGAAGAAACGCATAAAATAGAAAGTAGCGTGACGTCTATACGGATCTGTATTTCTAGTCTATCCTCTATTACTATTCGTATCGCTATTTTTAGTCTATCCTCTATGCTATACAGATCATTGTTTCTTTTCTATCCTCTATTATTATACGGAGCGCTATTCCCTACTCTATTCACTATACTATTTCTCTATTCAGTTCACTGTGGCTCGGATTGAGAAATCGGAGAGCCGAGTTCGAATTCCAGTCAGATCCATTACATTCACTTACGTGCTTATACACTTGGGAAAGTTATGAATTCTCTTCTTAATGGGACATAACTTCCTGACTATGGGTAAATAGCAGGACAGACCTGGTTCTATAGCCTTGGGTAGCTCCTGGTCTACCACAGAAAGAAATGGCAACCTACTGCGGGGAAAAATCTGCCTCGTCAGTCATGTATCGAAAGATACCTGATCGGCTACGCGTGTATCACGCATGACACATAACTAACTGACTATGGGTAAATGGCAGGACAGGCTGGGTTCTATAGCCTTGGATGGCTCCTGGTCTACCGCAAAAAGAATTGGCAACCTAATGCGGGTAAAAAATCTGCCTCGTCAGTCATGCATCGAAAGATACATGATCGCCTAAGCGTGTGTCACGCATGGCACATAACTAAACTGATACGATGGGTTAGTTTTCGAGCGAGTATTATCGAGGCAAGTTCAATTAGTGCGAGTGTTATTCGAAGGCGTCTGACATAAGCATTGTTCAACGGCGTTACTATAACATGTATCTATACACTGATTACAAAGTCTCTACTACTACGAGAATTACGAAAGTGACAATGGGTATTCGTTGGCATATAATAAAGAATATATTTATCTGATATATCTATCTTATATTCTTGAAATGCTTCTTTATCACAAATCATTCTTTCTTTGTTTCTCAGACGTTCGTTGTTATTTTTTTGGTTTCTTTGCTAAATGTTATTTTAATTCTTTTTCTTTTAACGCCAAGCAAGACAATAAAACCATTAAAACGCAAGTTTGTTATTGAGTGTGTAATATTATTAGAAAAGAATAAAACATTATGGAGCGAGAACAATAAAACAAGGGCAATTAAAAAGGCTTTTACTTTTTATGCGCCATGTTCTTTAAGGACGTAGGCGATCATGGCTCTCCACTTCCCCTTATCCCTTGCAGCTCTCAACAAGTACCTTCCCTCTGCCATTCCCCCCAGACCACGTTCTTTCATCCACTTGCTCAAGCCCGCTAGGTATGTCATACGTTGTTTTCTCTTGTCTCTCTTTCCCACTATTCGACCCGTGAGTATCAGATTCTCTAGGCCCTCCTTCCTCATTATGTGTCCCAGACACTTCAGCTACCGCTTCCTGATATATATATATATATATATAAATTTCCTTGTTTTTCATCCTTTCTAAGACTTTATTGTTGCCTACACGCTCGATCCATGATACCCTTAGCATCCTTCTGTAGAACCACAATTCCGTCGCCTCGAGTGTCTTCTTCATCTTTAAGGAAATCGTCCAACATTCGCTGCCGTAAAGAAGGACAGATGGCACGTAACAGCTCAGTATTCTTTTTTTCGTTACCAAATTCTCCTGTCTCATAATACTCTGCCCAGCTTTTGGAATGTGTCCTTGGCCATCCCAATACGTCTACGGATATCAGTGTCGCACTTACCATCCTCTGTCAAAACACTTTCCAGATATTTAAACTTCCGTGACTGCTTGATTCTAGTGTTCCCGGCCTGCAAATCGCATTTCGGGCTCACCATTTTACTGATGACCATGTATTCTGTCTTCTTGTAGTTTATGCTTAGTCCTTTCTTCTCGCTCTCCTTCGCTACCTTCTGTAGGAGATTTTGTAATTTCTTTTCCATGTCTGGAAATGTGAATTGTTATCTGTACACATTACAGAT